AAAATATTTTATTTTATTTTATTTTGCATTACTTTTGGAATGCAAAAGTTGGAAACAAAGAAGAATCACTAGTAGTTGGAAAATTTGGCCTTGGTGACAGAAATAATGCTGGAAATTGCATGGTAGAATTTTGCAAGACCAACGACTTGTTCATTGCAAGTACCTTTTTTCAACAACACAAACAGCAGCTATATATGTGGACTTCACTAATGGAACACACAGGAATCATATTGACTACATCTGTGTGGCAAGAAGTAATGGAAAACTCAATATCTTCAGCCAAAACAAGGCCAGGATCTGATTATAGAACAGACCATCAACTGCTCATAGGTAATTTCAAATTGAAGTTAAAGACAATTAAAACAAGTCCATGAGAGCCAAAATATGATCTTGAATACATCCCTCCTGAATTTAAAGACCATATAAAGAATATATTTGATGCATTGAACACTAATGACTGAAAACCAGAAGAATTGTGGGATGACATCAAGGACATCATCAATGAAGAGAGCAAGAGGTCATTAAAAAGATGAAAAAAGAAGTTGTGGTAGTTATGTTTGTGTGTCAACTTGGCTGGGCCTGGTTGAGTGGCAGGGCAGCTGGTGGTAGTTATTCCCCTTGATGAAACTGGCAATCAGCTCCATGGTAGGATCTACCACAAGAAGATCTGCTTCCTGTATTTAAGGAGAAGCCTTGGCAATAGTCTCTAGCCTTTGGCTGCATGTAGCTGTGTAATTGCTCAGCAGCCTGCTATGCTCTGTCAACTTTGGGACTTACAATGGACTTAAATTAATGGCCTGCCGTGTGGTTTTGTAATATCGGAACTGTGCCTTTTCACTTGTCAACCTTGGGGCTTGTCAGCCTCAGCAGCCAGCAGTCTGAGTGAAGAAATGCCTCTAGTTCCAGTGGGCCAGGAGGAGGAGGCAGAGCTGGACCCCAATGTTGAGGGGCTTTCACCCAGCCCTTAGAGCCTGGTACTTTGAACTTGGACTTAAAGCCTCCAAATTGTAAGAATAAACTGTTTAAAGCCATCCCATTTGTGGTATTTTCTTGTCAGAGTGACACTAGGTAACCAGAACAGAAGTGAAGACCAAAATGGATGTCGTAAGTGACTCTGAAACATGCCTTTGAGCGGAGAGCAGCTAAAGCACATGGAAGGAATGACAAGATAAAAGAGCTGAACTGAAGATTTCAAAGAGCAGCTTAACAGACAAAGCTAATTACTATAATGAAATGTGCAAAGACCTGGAGTTAGAAAACCAAAAGGGAAGAACAAGCTTGACATTTCTCAAGCTGAAAGAATTGAGGAAAAAAATTAAGCCTCAAGATGCAATATTGAAAGATTTTGTGGACAAAATATTGAATGATTCAGGAAACATCAAAAGAAGATTGAAAGAATACACAGAGTCACTGTACCAAAAAGAACTGGTTGATCTTCCTCCATTTTGAGAGGTGGCATATGATCTACAACCAATGGTATTGAAAGAGGAAGTTGAAGCTGCAATGAAGGAATTGGTGAAGAACAAGCCTCCAGGAATTAACAGAATTCCATTGAGATATTTCAACAAATGGATGCCCTACTGGAGGCATTCACTCGGTTATACCAAGAGATTTGGAAGACAGTTACCTGGCCAAATGACTGGGAGAGACCCATATTTGTAGCCATTCCAAAGAAAGGTCATACCACAGAATGTGGAAATTATCAAACAGTATTAATATCACATCCAAGTAAGATCTTACTGAAGATAATTAAAAAGCAGTTGCAGCTGTATATTGACAGAGAACTTCCAGAGGTGCAAGCTGGATTCAGAAGAGAATGTGGAACAAGAGCTATCATAGCTGCTGTCAGACAGATCTTGGTTCAAGGCAAAGAATAGCAGAAAGATGTTTATTTGTGTTTCATTGACTATGCAAAGGATTTGATTGTGTGGATCATGACAAATTATGGATAACTTTTAGAAGAATGGGAATTCCTGAACACTTGATTTACTCATGTGGAACCTGTACATTGACCAGGAGGCTGTCATTAGAATGGAACAAGGGAACACTATATGGTTTAAAATCAAGGAGGGAGTGGTCAGTGTTGTATCCTTTCCTCATACTTATTAAATCTATATGACGATCAAATAATCCAAGAAGCTGGA